GAGAATATTGAAGGAAATGAACAAAAGAGTTATAAAAAAACCACATATTTTGAAGGAATAATTTTCAAAAGTTACATATTTAAAAGACACGTTACAGTTTCAAACATAATAAAAAAATATTTTTTTAAGTTATAATTTAAAAAGATAAGTTAGAATTTAAAATTTACCATGATCGTTTAAGTGAACATGTATTTAGAATTATATTTATCAACTAACCGCACAAGGCGTGAGCACGTATACTAGTAAAGGGGAATAGCAGGCACCAGACCATCAACACGCGTGCTTTTGCTGCCTGCTTATTCCCCTTGGGTTCCTCTTGTTCATTTAACTTCATCCAATGAAAAAATGTGGGATCCATTTAAAATTTAAATCGTAAACTTATTTTTTTAGGATCCTTCATAAAATGGGGCACATGAAAATATTTTGTGCTCTTTTTATATTTATATTTGTAACACCTCGCAACTTTACTCTTAGAATTTGAATTGTTCGTCTTAAGTATGAGCTTGAATCGGGTGATGTACTACTTGCTCATGTGTTTTAAGGTCCGTTACCAAGTGTATCAAGGGTATCGTAAGTGATTTATGGTCACAAGGGACCCCTAACACTAAGTCAAGTTCAAATCTTTCTATCGGCTAAGTTTTTCGCGTTAGTTTACGCATGAGTCAAATTCAAATGACCATATCTTTCAGAGTTTCAGTATATAAAGAACTAGGTGAACCACAACCTATCAAATTAAAGATCTATGAGTCTTCTTTCCAACGCCACCAAGTTTGCATCAATTGAAGTTCGGAGTAAAAAGTTATGCCCTTTTTACTAGACAATGTCTTGCCACATGCCGGTCGCGCGACCGAGGCAATTTTCCGCGCAGGCGCGCGCCAAGGCAGTAGCTACTTCGTTCCTGCGCAGTTGGCTGCGCGCCTAAGGCGTTTTCCGCGCGGGCGTGCGGGCGTTTGAGGCTTTAATGACCCTCCAAAAACATGATTCACCTCCATAGTTCATAAAATTGCCCTAGAAAGAAAAGTTTTCAAGAAACTAACTTCCTCCAAGATTCATCTATCATCCAAGGTAAGATCTAACCACGAAACTTCTTAATTTCTTCATCTTAACACGAATTAATGACTCCTACTCATGAAATTCAGAGATTTTTCAAGAAAGCTCCTCAAGAACTCATCTCCAAGGTTCAAGAAAGGTTTTGTTAGGCCTTCTTCTTCCAAGATCATTCTTTTCTTCGGTAATTGGAGCGATTAATGTATGTAAGACTTCTGTGAGGAATTCCTTTCATCCTCATATCCAAGATTTATCAATGTTCATGAATTAAATTCTATAATTAGGGTTATCAAACCCACTTTCGAGTTCACCCATAATCTTGACCCAAATTCTATGTTTTCTTTAAATTAATTATTCAAGATTAAAGATTCTTGACCTATGTACTTCCTTTTTTTATACTTAGTAATAAGGTTTTACATTGTTATCCTTGTGAGTTGTTGACATGACATTATTATGATTTCATGAAGATTATATTTCAAAGCATGATTTTAGAGTCTTTATGCTATTATGAAAATTAATTACAAATACTTATGAGTTATGCAAGTTAGAAAACTTTCTCATGATTTAAGTTGCATACATGACTTTGAAAGATAGATTTTAGAAAGATTTGAGCTTTGACTCACAGATTTGAGCTTGGTCTCACCCTTTATTCAGACAGACATATAGTTTATCAAACTATGAACATATTATACAAGTATATTATCTTTGGGAGTAGTATTGAGCACCGATATGGGATAAGAGTTCAGACAACTCAAATTCCATAAATGTCGCGACCCGAGTCTACACCCCGGATGCGACACAGCGTACTTGACCCCGAAGGGGGTCTCATACAAGCCTCATAGCATTTCATTGCACTCTATAATAGAAATCATACGGAATTAAAACTTTATTTAAAACCATACAATCAAAATACTCATTTAAAACTCTTGAAAACACAGCGGAAGTCTATTGTCTCACATGGCCATCTAAAAACAACATCTGAAGCATAAGTAGGGACACAACCCTTTACAATCGAAAAGTCTAACAATAGTCTTTTACATGAAAAAATGGAAACATCAAGTACTTGTCCTCGATCTATGAGGACATACCACTAAGTCTTGGAGAATTTCAAATCCAAGTCCTTGATCTAGAGAAAGCAACTCACTTGACGGAACCTACACTTGTAGTAAAACATGAAGAATAATGGGTTAGCACAATTAAGTACTAAGTATGATAACCATGCAAAAACATGCTTAAAACGAACATTTTATTTGAAAGTCAAGCTTTTATGTCATTTTGATAAAACTTCATGAATCATAAGTATAAGAGGCATAATATTCAAACATAACCAACATACAAGTCATTTCATCACAATAGAGACATGATCAACATATAAGCCATTACCTTCACATTAAGCCTTCACCTCAAGTAACCCTTAAGCTATACCTTGTACAATGTATGGATAGAGTCCCATACCACCATCCACACTAAAGTACCACCTTAAGGTCACCAAAAGTGAATTTACCATTCAACCTTTTCATCTTCATACAATACTCATACATAAGAGACATAAACATTTCATAAGTCATATCATCACATAAGGACCATCACCTAAGACAACCCTAAGTAATACTTGTGCAATATGCAAGTAGCATCCCATACTACTACTCACACTAAGTACTCATTTGAAGTCACCATAGGCAAGGTACATTCATATTCATTAAGTCATAACAAGGAAGTAACTCATAATACAATCCAAGTATAGCATACGACATCTCATTTAAACATATATAAGAGTCAACATTCTTCATTATCTTCATTTAGGACACATTCATACATTAGCCATTAAGACTTAGAGAACTCACTATGACCCTCTCAAAGCCTACTCGTTCAATGCATGGATAACATCCCATACTACCACCCACACTTCATAGAACTCATCAAGAAAACGATAATGCACACCTCACATAATGGGAATAGGCATTAACCGACATAGACCATGAGAGCTAAATCATGGAATCCGGTGTCGTATGACCCCACACCAAAGGAAGGTGTTCCACTGGCCTAAGGTAGAACTAGTAACATTTTAGCGTAGGTCGAAACCACTAGCTAATATCTTATGTGGGCACATAGTTATGGGATAGGAAGATGTTCATTGGAACCCTAGCCTAACATTGGGAGAGTTTCCATCTTACCATATCCACTCGGTGCTTAGCCTCCATTCCCATAGAGTATTTCATTTTCATTTTCATTAACATTATTGTACTTGAGAGGAATGCCATAAGCCTATCGACCCAAAGTACATTATTACACAGGAAAGGAATGCCATAAGCCTATCGATTCAAGGTACATTGACTCATTAGGAGAGGAATGCCATAAGCCTATCGATTCAAGATTAGTCATTACATTAGTTCATTTATGAAAAGAATGGCATAAGCCTATCGATTCATATTCATCAAGTCAAGACACATTCATTATACAAGAAGAGGATGACTAAGCCTACCAATTCAAGATACACTCATTCACATTACTTTCATTTATACAAGAAAATGATGCCTAAACCTACCAATTTCAACATATACAATACATAGGAGAAAACCCTTCACATTCCATCATCATCATTCATGAGTATTAATTGAGAATATGCTTTCAATCACAACACTATTACATTCTAAACATGATCATTATGCATTCATTGAAATCACACACATATACTTTACATCATGATCCTACATATATCATTCATATACAGGGGTACAAAGAAGATATCCATCAATTCAATACCACAATACACATAGTAAGTAAACACCTCCACCTTTCAAGTGGATCAATAGATCAAACACAATTCTACTTCAATATGTAATTTGATCATAACTTGCCTTTCAAGGGTCACAGATCACATTCACCCACACACCTTAGATCAATACAATTTGGCAAGAGCAATAACATAATTTCAACATTCTATATCCTTATACACATAAACAACCCACATACTTCATAATCAATCAAATCCCAATCACAAATCACAACTTAGGAATTTGGGGGAAAACATAAATTCTAAGAAGAAATCATCTTAATTCATATTTAAATCCACAATTTGTTCATAAATCAATGCAATAAATCTTTTGGAAATCATTTAGAATCGAACCCATGCATAGATTGAAATCTAGGGTTTTTGGGTAAACATTGGAGATTTGAAATCACTTTTGAAATTGGCTCCCTGAAAGAAACTAAGTCAAGGATGAAGACCACCATACCTTTTATGGAAGAATCCCACGAAAATCCCTTGAAAAACTTGAAGTCTTGACTTTGGAAGCTTGAAGTCTTCACCTCCAATGGAGGTTTCTAGAGAGAGAACTTTTTGGAAGGGAGGGGAGGTTTTAATTTTGGGTTTTGAAATAATGAAGTCTAAAATATGTTTTAATACTTTAAAAACCCTTAAAATACCATATATAACTAATTAAAATTGTCCCCCAACCAAACAAGACTTGACATAAATTTACCAAACCACCCCCACATTGGCCGAACCCTTGATAGCTTTTGCAGGGGTGAACCACGACCACCAAACCACGGACCGTGGTCTAGATCACGCCCTGTCCTGGTCAAGCGTGGTTTGGGGCTGTGGCTTGGTTTTGAAGGCCTTGACCTACAGATCAAGACCATGAGTCGTGGTTGGTCCTACTGGACGTAGGTCTCATCCGTAGGTTCAACTTTTTGGACAAAGTCTTGGTTTCTTGGGATCTTGGGGGTTAGGCTTTGCGGTCCTCCTCAAGGACCTCTAGGGTGGTCCTTGGGGAGTCGTACCTTGATGTTTAACCCCTAAACCCCTCAACCATAGCTCAGGACAACATTTTACACCCTCAAACCTCACAACAACTGTAAGACACACTAGTTAATTAGGCTCTAGTTTCACTTATTCATTTTATGGTTCGTTACAATAAACTACGTAGCCATCGTAGATAGGATCATACCGTATGGACGACTCCTCACCTACCTCAGGAAGGCTTTTTAATGGATCCATTAGTACAATTGCGTTCTATACTCCAGCAAGGTATAGAGCGGCTCTGGCAACATGGGTAAGACGTTGTATTATCACGAGGCTCATAGTGATGGTGGTCGGTTAGAGAAACTCCCCAGTAAAGTAAAGAGTATTATATATATATATATATATATATATTCCAATTTAGCTCAGAATTTGCTATTATGCATTATATTTGTGAAGTTTAAATGATTTTATCTCATATTCATGCTTTACTTTAGTTGAGTTATATTTCAGTCTTTTAGTCCAATTGTTGTTTCACTCAGCCTTATTACATACTCGTACATTCAATGTACTAATGTCATTCGACCTGCATCGTCTTATGATGCAGATACAGGTGTTCAGGATCATCAACAGGCGCATCGTTGATATCAGCCAACTTCTTACCAGCTTTTGGTGAGGCCTCCTTACTTTCAGAGGACTCCAGTCATTTATCTGCTTTAATGGTTTTATTTAAGGTTGTCGTGGGTCTTTCCCAACGCCTATCTAAGACAGTAGAGGCTTCATAGATGGACAATGTTAGAGGGTCTCTTGGTATTTATCTTCAGATATTTTGTTAAACTATTACTGTTTACATTCAGTATTCTCAGACAGTTCAGACAATGTTTAACTTAAATGTTTTCTCTTCAGTTATTTAAAATTAAAAATGCTTGAGTAAGTCTTCTGCTAAGTAGTTAGCCAGGCCAAGGGTTCGCTTGAGGATCAGAAATTGTTCTCGAGTGCTGGCCACGTCCAGGATGTAGACTCGAGGCGTGACAATATTTAACATGTTTATTTTTATTATTATTTTTAAATTTTATATATTTATAGTTGATTCTTGAATTCTACACATGAAATACTAATATTTAAAACACATTAAAAATGAAAATGTGTACGACTAAACACTTGAAATTATCAATATTAATAATCTTTATTCAATATTTATTCTACATTTAATGAGATGATTTATTATTATACAAATATATACTACCTCCGTCCACTTTTAATTGTCATATTTTCCTTTTTTAGAGTCAAACAATAATAATTTTGACTAACATTTTACGATGTATTTTCATCATATTTATATGCAAAAAAAATGGAATTTATAGTCATTTTCGTATAGTTTTTGCATTTCTATTTTTTTTTGTTTAAAATATTGAATGAATGTAATCTAATTTAATTTTAAAAATTAATTAAATTGACTTTCAAAAAGCGCAACATGACAATTAAAAGTGGACAGAGGGTGTATAATTTATTTTCAATAATAAATTTTAAAATTATCTTAATAAATAATTTTATGAAATAAATATTGGGCTGGTATATAACACCCAACTTCCCATTACTTAGTTTTTAAAGAAATTGAAATGTGGTGCATAAGAAGGCAGAATGGTCTGGTGGACCCTTGTACTTGTATCTATTTGTATTGTGAACCCTTCTACTTATCCTTTTGTCATCTGGACCCCTGAACCCATCCAAACTCAACATTTTAAACACTTTTTTTGATGTGGTATGGAGCGTGTTGCACAAACACGTACACGTTGGCCAAAAAGAAAAAAATAATAATCCACGTATGATATTATATTCCACGTGGCAAATGACTCACCTTAAACTAAGAATAGTCCTAACTCCGGCGAAATTTTTCAAACCTTCGCAACTTTTACACTTCTCCTCTTCTCTTCTCCTCTCCGCGACGTTCGTCTGTGATTTTCCTCCAAACCTTCGCTCAGTTGAAGCTCAGTTCCACTCCGATTTTCGTTGTAAGTTCTTGCCTTTTGCGTTAGTTCTGATCTTTTTCATTTTCTCGCGCGTATCTGTTTGATTTTAGGGTCGATTGTCATTCGATTTTCTGAAATTTTTTGGGGATTTTACTTTGGTTTAGATGTAATATTAGTGTAATATGCTTTCTTAGTTGATGTATGACTTTGAGTGACTTCAATGGCATATTTCGTGAATTCGAGTAGATTCTAGGGTTTATTCGTAAAATCCCAATTTCAACTAAAATTAATATTTTATTTCTGGTCAATTGTCTTGGGTATTGATAGTGTTAGTTGAGCATTATTACATCAATTACAGTCATGGTAAGTTAATGGCTTTAACTGTTACAACAATTCATTATTTCCTTAAAAAAATTAGGGATTTTTGTGTTACAGTCATGGTAAGTTTATGGTTTAACTGTAGTTATTATTTTTGACTTTACAGGCATCGTAAGGTAATGGCTTTAACTATAGTGACACTTCAATTTCACTATGGGGGCTGTTTTGTATCTAATCCTACTTTAAGGTATGTCAATGGAATCAGTAGTGTTGAAAAGATTAATATAGATGTAGATGAGTTGCATATTATGTTATTTCATAAAATAGCAATGGAATTGGGTGTTGAAAATGTTGAGACATTTGGATGTAGAGTCAACAAGAAGGGTG